AGTTACAAGATAAGTTAAACATAAGAATGGGCTAATAAGAACTCTTATCAGCCGAACATCACTCTAACATTCTAACAAGAAGCAGTGCAGAGGCAGAATATAGAGCTATGGCACATACTACTTGTGAACTAGTGTGGCTAAGGAACCTTCTACAGGAGATGGAATACATTGTTGATACTCCAATGAAGCTCTACTGTGACAATAAGGCTGCAGTTCACATTTCCTCTAATCCGGTGTTTCATGAGAGAACCAAAGACATAGAGGTTGATTGCCACTTTGTTAGAGAGAAGGTGCTGAGTGGAGTGATAGACACTGCATATGTCAACACAGGGAATCAGTGGGCAGATTTGTTTACTAAAGGGTTGAGTCGGGGGAGAGTGAACTGCATATGTAACAAGCTGGGATTATGATATATACTCTCCAGCTTGAGGGGGAGTGTTAGTGTCGAGTATGTAGGGGTAATTTTGTCTTTGTGCTTGTGTTTAGGTGCTGATGTGTAAGTTTATGTTAGATTTAATGTCCCTAACTTAAGCAGGGGCATATGTGACTTTTCCACATTATTTTAGTATTATAAAATACATCTGGCCGAATGGGAGAGTGAACTTTTTCTTTCATTCGAACCAGAATCTTTTCTCCTTGTTTCTCTTCTGCTCTTCTCCTTTCTCTCTTTCTCTCTCTCTTCCTTGACTGTTATCAGTCTAATAGGCAGATCGAACACTAACACACATTGAGGTGGATTGCCACTTTATCGGAGACTTGTTTCTTGCTAGATCTTTCTCTCTTCCTCATGTTTCGTCTGAAGTGCGAGTTGCTGATATCTTCACAAAGGCAATGAGGAGATCCGGGCATTTATTCCTTGTGAGCAAATTGATGCTAATGCCTTTGTATCAATTTGAGGGGGAGTGTGAAGAGTCCCTTTGATGTATCATTCTCTGTAGTCCCTGTTGTATTGTATTTTCCTTTTTCTTATTTTATTATTTAGTCCTGTGAGGGCGTTTATGTAAATATTTATTTTTCTCTTTAGTCCTCTAAGGACCTCTCTGTATATATCTAATATATATATATATATATATATATATATGTTGGCTCTTGGGGTGGAGTTGATTGATTTAGTTTTACACCCTAGAATAGTCTTCTTTTCTCTTATATGAACTGGTTGTATGACAAGGAAGAGAGAGAGAGAGAGAGAGAGAGAGAAATCCCAAGGAATCACTCCAAGGGTCCTAGAATCACTCTAGGGTTTATAGGAATCACTCCATACAACAAACTTTCAAGAGATCTCTAAAGAAATCTTCATTCATTTATTAGCTTCAAAAGGAAGAGAATACGCCTATTTATAGAGTGACTTGTGTGGCCCGGAATACTGTTCACCATAATAATGAAAATGCCACTCCTTGTCTAGTGCATCAAGAAACACAATAACTTTCTATGTACTAATGCAAATAAACTGAAAATTGAATGACAAGCCCTACTAAACTAGAAGAATAAGATGTTATATCCCAGTCCCACACGGGACTAGTTAAAATGAAAAAAATACCCATACTGTCCACATATACAAAAATACAGAAAATTTCAGAAAATTCCAAATTTGATTCTTCAGCTCCTGCATTATATGTTTATCCCTTTAGTATATTTATATTTAATTTTTGATAAGTTTTTTTAAAAATATAAACAATCTTAGGATCTATGATATGATTCATGATTCGATTCAATTTCTTTACAATTATGATTTTTAGAACTTCACTTACCAATCCAAAAAAAACAAAACAAAGAAGGAAACTAACCTGGGAACAAGCCTCTTGGTATCTTCCAACAGCACACAACATGTGTGTGCCAGATAATGACTTGTCAGTCCTCACCATATTGGCTGCAACAACCTAGATGAAGAGACTATAGGTCATATTTCAGATTAAAAAGCTGACTGAGATGGTTTAGTTATGTGCATAGACAACCATTTACTGCAATAGTCAGAAGTGATGTGCAAGTACAAAGACTCTAAAAGATCAAAGGGAAGACAATGGAAAACATGGTTTGAAGTGGTAAAAATGATTTACAGACTTGCAATTTGATAGAAAACATGGATCTTGATAGAGAAAAATGGTGGGACAAGATTCATGTATCCAATTCCAAATAATTGGGGTTAAGGCTTAGTTGAGTATTTTAGATGGTAAAGCTAAAACAGAAATTAAGTTATCCATATTCACCTTAACAGCAAGTTCAAGAAGAGACCTTGACACTGCAGAGGAAAGAGCAACTGCACGTAGAGCATTGGCATAGAAATGAGAGTCCTCTGGAGGAGTAGAAAGTAGTAAACTAACTGCACCTTCTAAATTACCAACTGAAACAAGCCTGATTGCCACACATTGTAACACTACGTCATATAAAACTGATTGGTAAAGCACAAAACTGAACTAACTTGAGGTGCTATGATATGACTTAACTCTTCATTTTACAGTAAATTAATAGATTTGAGTAGAAAAATTTCAAAAGGTTACTAGTGAAAATATTCCTTTGATATCATGAAATCCATATTTTCTTTCCTTTCATTTGACAGGTAAAATCAAAAGACAAATGCATGTGGAAATCACTATACTAACAAAATAAATAGCATCCATTGAATAAATCTCAAACTTGAAGAACCAGAAAGCTACTTGTCAATAATCAAATAATGGCTGTCCAAGGTAAGAAAAACAGCTCATCCAACAAGGCATTCAAAAAGGGAGTTGCTTTACAATAATACTAGCAGGTACCTGTGCGATGCACATGCTTTGTTAAAAGAATTTGAGGCAAAAGGAGTTAGGGGTGTAACTTGGGCAGGCCCAACCCGAACTTAGCCTAGTCCAACTAGAGCTTTTGCACATATTGGGCTTTGAGTTGGACTTGGGTAAAAAAAAAAAAAAAACCTCAGCCCTAATCTATACTTGGGTTGGGCTTAGGTTAAGGCCTTAGGTAGCCCAAGCCCGACCTAACTCAATATGAGCCTACCCAACATTTTATGATATACATATATCTACATATTATCAAGCTTCCCTTGCTCAATTTCAATCCAAGATGTGTTGGGTTAAGCTCAGCTTGGGCCTGGGTTGGTAAACTCAGACTAGATGTCAAGTTGGGCCAAGCCCAAGCTCAAGGTTTGAGACTTAGGGTTGGGCTTGGGTTGACCATTAACCCGGCCCAACCCACCCAAGTTGCACCCTCAGAAGGATCAGTGTGGCATTCCTAATTGTATTATTTTGTATTTTTTTTCTTTTTTATTAAATGATTTGAACTTTTATATTTTTTATTTAAAATTATTAATTTGCCATTTTTCAATGGATTAGGGGATTTTTAATTAAGAATGATTAAGTTTAAATCTAATAATTTTGTTAATTTTTAACTTTATCAACAAATTTGCAATATCATTTTATTTTTTATAACTTTTATTTAATGTTATTAATTTTTATCATTTTTCAATGAATTAGGTGAGATAGGAAAGAAGGGACGAGACTCAAAAAAGAGACATCCATGGAGATATAGACCTTTTTAGACATAAGGTTATAACACTTGTACCCTTGTGAGTAGTAGGTAACCAAGGAAAACACATGGAATAGCATGAGAGTCCAGCTTACCATAAGTGGGAGACAAGTTTTACACAAAACATTGACACCCAAACACACAAATAGGAATGGAGAACAATGGATATGAGGGGAAGAGCAATTGATGTGGGGAACATTAATATGCAAAAGTAAGCCACAAGCCACCTCCAATAGTGTCGATTATTTCGCTCTACACTACAGTTTTGTTGTGGTGTGCAAGGATGGTAATTTTGATGTAATGTACCATTATGCTGGAGATTATGCATTAACATCATTAGTGAAAATACTCCTTTGCATTATCTAAGTGTAGAATTTGGGTATCAATGTGAAATTGAGTAAACACCACACATTGAAAAATTTTTACAACCTTGGGACCTCCTCTTTGGATTGTAACAAATATTGCCACGTGCACTTACTCATTTGCATTATCTATAGTGTTTACTCAGTTGACATGTAAGAAAGACACTCCAATGAGAACAAAGACACAAACTTAAACAAATCCGGAAACAAGACCTTCAAAGAAGAAAAAGATAAATGACCTAAGTGACAATGATAGAAATAATTTGGCCTTTATTACAGTGACCCTTGTGCTGCCTCAATTGACTCAGAAAACTTATGCCTTTGAAAGAATTTGAACCACTGAATTCAAAATGTAGAGACCATTTGTCATGTATCCTTTATCAATCATTCTCCTTGAAGAAAGTGGGATACACTCAGAGTGTTGTAGATCATACCTTGTTCATAAGGAAATTGGGTAATATGCTTACAACTCTCATAGTCTATGTGGATGATATGGTAATTATAGGGAATGATCCGGAAGAGATAAAAAGATTGAAGGAGTTCTTGGCATCTGAATTTGAGATTAAAAATCTAGGACATCTAAGCTAGTTCCTTGGAATTGAAGTTGCAAGGTCACAAGAAGGCATATATATATATGTATGTCAAAGGAAGTATGTTCTTGATCTTCCATAGAACATGGCACAACACACAACCGAATGGATCTCAGATCACAACAGCAGCAGAACACTGAGGAAACTCCATGAACTCAAAAACTCATCAGCTATCTTTCAGATTTGGAAAGTTCCAGTCGAATCTAGAGGAAATCTGAACGAGAGGAGAAAAAGAACAGATCTGAGCCTCCACTTCTATGGATCCTGCTCTGATACCATCTAAAATTAAAGAAAAGAAAAGGGAAGCTGAAACAGCAGAGAAGGAGAAAGAATATTTGCTGGAAAAAGTGTCAGTGGCAGCTCACTCACTGATTTATATATTAGGGTGTTAAGAGAAATGAGAAAATTGCAATAGTACCCCTGGTTACAACTTAACAAGAAAAGATAGTAATAACAGTCTAATAAGAGCCTAACAGCAGTCCTAACAATATACCCTTACAAATAAATTTCCTTTTTACTACTGTTGGGGATGTGTTGAGAAGATTGATAACTACAGGCAAAAGTTGTGATATGTTTTGGTGTAAAGTAGGTACAGAATAGATTAGAGGTGTCTCACCTCCAAATTGCATGAATCAATGATATTTTGACAAACCTCTTAAAACCACCTGCAGGACGATGTCAGCCTCTTGTTTGCTGCCATTACCTAAATGGCACACCACCCCATCCTCAATTGTTAAATAACTTTCATGCCTAATAAATGTATCAAATTACTGAAATCTTATGGTTCATTTGATATCTTCCATAGTTTCGAAACCTGGCGGAATGTCAATCTTATTGCAATAAGTATATAGGGCTGGATGCAGCAACATTGTTGTGTCCAATATAATATTAAATTAAAATCTCTAACAGTGGCCCATGGGATATCCTACATTTCCACAATGCGTCCTGCGTGACAGAGAGAGTGGACATGAGAGCAAAAATTCAGGGGAAACGACTCACTCGTGTACACGGTTCTGAATTGCTTCTTCTCCCTCTAATTTTTCATGCCATGGAATACGCTCATTAGCACTTCTCCACAACTCTTCTTGATCAAAGGCCATTGATGTAAGTCGACCATAACACTGTTCACAGGATAGTTACTTCAGAATAAAGAAAAACACACAAATTAGCTACAAGAAATATGTCCAATTGACAGCACTTTACACATGGAAAGCTACTCAGTTTTATGACTTCTAAGGTACTTGGTGCTCACCATAGCTCATTGAGTCTAGCAATTGTAAAAAATGCTAAAGAACACTGCATACACAAACATATATTGTAAGTAACAAATAATCACTTACAACTGTATCCTTCTTCTCCTTGCCTGGAATTGATTTTCCTCTTGATGCTCTTCTACTTAGAATAGATGTGTCCTCAAGCTCTGAAGTAGATGCTGATACAGAAGCTCTCTGACGAGATTTCTTAGATGAGTTCCTCATTGAATGAATAAGAGCACGAGGCAACTGTAACCAAAAAAGTGCTTCTGAAGATTCACCAAAGATTGCAGCAGCAAAGGCAAATCTTGCAGCAGAACCTTCGTTTACCACAGAAGCATATAGCCCAGCAGTCTCAGCATCTAGTATGCATCCTGAAAAATGAAAAACAGAATTGGAAGGTAACAGAAATTGTCATTAGAAAAAAAAAAGAGAGCAAACAGCACATAGAAGACACAGAAAACCTACCATCTCTTCTATATGGTTCCAGCACCTTAAGAAGCATTTCTGGCACCACAGAGTCACCAATGGTGGGAAGATGTGAATCAATCATATAACTTCGAAAGTCACTCCAGGATGAATGATTTCTTGAAGTGTTATTATCCTTAATTGTATTGCATGTATCGAACCAAGATGGCTTAACACCCAATTGCAAGACCATCCGCAGTGCCTGCAGTAACAAAGAACACATCAGTGATGTAAATAAGATGCTTGATCCTATTCAGTTCAGGTTCAGGTTCGAAGTCACCCCCTCTAGCCGACCCACTTTGTATTTATAATAAATAGGTTGAGTTACAAAAGACAATATTGTCCCTTACAAGTGATGGGACACATAACTTAAACTTGAATAAAACAGACCTTTCACTTCTAACTAGATAAACCAAAAGACCAAAATACCCCTGTACTGTCGACTCTAATACTCCCTCTCAAGCTGGAGAGTATATGTCATATAGTCCCAGCTTGTCACATATGTAATCTACTCTGCCCCGAGACAGCCCCTTTGTAAAGAGATCTGCCCACTGGTTTCCTGAGCTCACATGAGATGTAGTCATCACTCCACTAATCACTTTTTCTCTTACAAAGTGGCAATTGACTTCAATATGCTTTGTTTTCTCATGGAAGACTGGATTAGAAGATATGTGTACAACAACTTGATTATCACAGTATAACCTCATGGGTCTGTCAAYTRAGAAYCCCATCTCTTGTARYAAATTCTTCAACCATACTAGTTCACATGTAGTAGGAGCCATAGCCCTGTACTCAGCTTCTGCAATTCTTGTCACCACTGTTTGTTTTTTTCTCTTCCAAGTTACCAGATTGCCACCAAGGAAGGTACAATATCCTGTAGTTGATCTCTTGTCTGACACAGAACTAGCCCAATCAGCATCTATATACCCTTCAATCTCAAGAGGTCCTCCACTTTTGTATAGTAGACCACGACCTAGAACACCCTTCAGATACCTAACAATTCTTAGAATTGCTTCTCAATGAGGAATTCAAGGATGTTGCATAAACTGACTCACCATACTTACAACAAATGAAATATCTGGCCATGTGATAGTCAGATAGTTCACTTTTCCCACCAACCTCCTGAACCTTCTAGGATCATCAAACTCTTCACTTGCACCAACACTCAACTTAGCATTTGGTTCCATAGGTGTCTTGGCTGGTTTGGCACCTAACATCCCTGTTTCTTCAAGCAGGTCAAGGACATATTTCCTTTGACATAAGTTAATTCCATGCCTTGACCTTGCAACTTCTATTCCCAAGAAGTACTTCAGCTTACCCAGATCATTCGTGTTGAAGTGATCCTATAGGAAGTTCTTCAACCTGTCAATCCCATTTCTGTCACTCCCAGTTATGAAAATATCGTCCACATACACCACTAGCAAAATTTTCCCATCTTTTTGAGTCATGGCTGAACACAAAATGATCTACTTGACACTGTTTCATCCCAAAGTTCTTCACTACTTCATTGAATCTACCAAACCATGCACGTGGAGATTGTTTCAGCCCCTAAATTGGCTTTTTAAGTCTACAAACCTTACTATCCTCCCCCTGAGCAACAAACCCTGGTGGTTGCTCCATATATTCCTCCTCAATTAGGTCCCCGTGTAGGAAGGCATTCTTGATGTCAAGTTGCAAGAGACGCCAGTCATACATTGTTGCTAATGAAATCAATACCCGAATTGAGCCAATTTTAGCCACAGGAGAAAATGTCTCCATATAGTCCACACCATACAACTGAGAATAGCCCTTGGCCACTAACCTGTGCTTTAATCATTCCACACTGCCATCTRGAAGATACTTCATTGTGTAAACCCACTTACATCCAACAACATGCTTACCAGGAGGGAGAGTAGTAAGTTCCCACGTGTGATTGTGTTGTAAAGAAGACAATTCCTCTTCCATTGCTTGCCACCACCCTAGAGAGGTAAGAGCTTCCTGGACAGTTTTGGGAGTGGAAACAGAGGATAGTAAGGATATAAAAAGGCGATGAGAAGCAGAAAGGTGAGCAACTGAAACATAATGAGAAATAGGATGAGATGTGCAACTACGTTTACCTTTCCACAATGCAATAGGAAGATCAAGGTCCGAAGGGGGAGGTGCAACCACAGGATCAGTCAATGAGCACTGAGTTGGAGGAGGGGCCGGTGCTCTTCTATGAGTATACACTTGTCGGATTGGTGGCCTCTCAGTAGTAACCTGCACGGGAGAAGGAGGGGAAGGAACGGGAACCACAGGAGGGGACGGAGTAGGAACCACGAGAAGGGGGTCCTCAACTAGAACAGGAAGTGGAAACACGGGGGGAAGGAGAAGGGACCTCATTACTTGAGAAAAATGGGACTGATTCAAAGAAAGTGACATCAGAACACACAAATGACTTATGAGAGTTAGGGTTATAGCAGTTATACCCTTTTTTATTTTTGGAGTATCCAAGGAAGATGCATTTAGTAGTGCGTGCATCTAAGTTGTCTAAACCAGGCCTCAAATTTTGAACAAAACACACCCAAAGACTCTCATGGTAAGAGGAAACGGAGACAGAGTGGGAAACAAAACTGAGAAAGGGGATTGACTTCCAAGGATKGACATGGGCATCCGATTGATGAGGAAACATGATGTCAGGACAACATTACTCCAAAAATGCTTTGGGACATTCATATTAAGCATAATGGACCGATCAGTTTCAAGTAGGTGTCAGTTTTTCCGTTCGGCCACACCGTTCTGTTGTGGGGTGTAGGAACAAGAAGTTTGATGAATTATCCCATGGTGCTCTAAGTATTGCTGAAATGGTGTTGAGGTGTACTATTTTGCATTATCAGAACGAAGAATTTTAATATGAACTCCAAATTGGGTATGTATTTCAGCATAAAAGTTTTGAAAAATAGAGAACAATTCACCGTGATCTTTCATAAGATAGAGCCATGTCATCCTTGAAAAGTCATTAACAAAAATTACAAAATACTTATAACCATTGTATGACACTACTTTATTTGGACACCAAACATCAGAATGAACTAAAGAGAAAGGACTTRAGACATGACTATCAACTCTTGAACTAAAAGAGACTCTATGGTGTTTCCCAAGCTGCCATGACTCACAATCCAATGATGAAAGTTGACTTAATGAGGGAAACAACAAATTCAAAGCCTTGAGAGATGGATGGCCAAGTCTACAGTGCCATTGGAGAGGAGTAAGGAATGACTGAAATGCTACTAGCGGGCCACCACCATCAAGGAAATACAATCCACCTGCCTCATGCCCTCCACCAATCTTCATCCCCGTCTTGAGATCCTGAAACACATAAGAAGAGGGATAAAAGGTTATAGAACAATTAAGTGACTTGGTTAATCGACTAACAAACATAAGATTAAAAGGGAACTTGGGAACATATAAAACAGATGATAAAGATAAGGAGGTGAGATCAACATCACCAACACCAYAAATAGGAGATGTAGAACCGTTAGCACGGGTAACTATTTGGGATGTAGAAGACCGAGAAAGTGAAGAAAATACATTTGGAGTCCTAGACATATGATCCGAGGCTCCAAAGTCAATGATCCAGTGTGTGAGAAGGTGAAAGAGTAGGAGATGCGATAGAGGTTCAGATCTGTTAGGGTTGATCAATCTGATCGAACCAACCTAGAAAAGAGATATTTATATTAATCTTATGTAAATGGACAAGATTGTCCTTACAAAGAGAATAAAAGAACTGTACACTAAAGTACACGCCTATTACAGTACAAGAAAGAATAATAAAGTACAGTAGAATTATAAAACTACCCTTCAGTAGTTCTTCTACAGTGTGAAGGTTTGGAAGCCAAGCAAGCCATACCTGAATGGGCAAGAGTAGTTGTGTTCTGTTGAGAGGATGTCTAAAGGAACTTCTCATATTCCTCACGTGGTACACTCACCATCTCCTTCCCAGAAGCACCGGTAGATGTGGAGGGAGTCTGATCAATTTGTTGATTTTCACTAACTGTTCCACTGCCACTAGTTACAACATGGTTATCCCAAGTGTTAGGTGGACCATGTAAATCATAGCAGAAATTAACAGTATGCCCCTCTAATCCACAGTATGTGCCTTTTCTAGTTGCATTACTTCTTCCTCGACCACAGCCTCCCCCTAACTCTCGACCTCCACTGCGGCCACTAGAATGATTAAACGTAGGACCACCTCGGTTCCCTGGAAACCCATGGCCACCACCTCCACCACACTACTGCTGTCACAAATCCAGCATTTGAAAAACCCTACTTTCAACTCACACATCCAGGTATAAATAGAAGGAAAAGAAGCTTGTACGCATACCTATCAATTCACACTCCACATAAATGAAATCCAGACCAAAAGAAAACAGCCGCAGTCCACTACTAGTCGAGTAGAGATTTCTGTTCACACCTGTCCACAACCAGGCCTCTTTGTATCATCAAATAGAGGGTATAGTACACCACCACAACGATCACCACCACAGAAACCGGAGGCATATTTACCTCCAAGAACAAAAAACGACCACTCCTTTTTGGCCCTTTATCGAACTTCCAATCTGTCTAGGAGATATTAAAAAAATTGATATGGCTAGCGGAGATCTCAGGAAGACAAAGGGCAATGAAAGAAGAAGAAGAAAAAAACTGGTTTCTTATTGCTCTGATACCATGTAAATAGGATGCTTGATCCTATTCAGTTCAGGTTCGAAGTATGAGAAGAAGAAGAAGGGTTTGGCCAGAAGAGAAAAAGTCACCCCCTCTAGCTGACCCACTTTGTATTTATAATAAATAGGTTGAGTTACAAAAGACAGTATTGTCCCTTACAAATGATGGGACACATAACTTAAACTTGAATAAAACAGACCTTTCACTTCTAACTAGATAAACCAAAAGACCAAAATACCCCTGTACTGTTGACTCTAACAAGTGACAATCCAATTATGACCAGGCATGTTGTGCCCTTGTTAATCTTCAATTTCTCATCATGCCTCTGAGAAGATAACAGTTATAGACATGGAATAACCCATGTATCTCTTCTTGTTTAGCATTATCTCCATGCAACAAACATGCTAAAGAGGGATAAATGTTTTTTTATTGTGTTCCTACTACACAAACACATGCTTGTTTTGCATTATACCTCTAATATATATAGCTGGATGAAATTCTACAGTAGTAATCAGATACCAAGAACTTAGAGGTAATCTTTTTAATCAATATTTTTATTTTCAGATCAAACAGTCCTTGATCAAGGAAGATAACATGGTTGATTATTGGTCATTAGAATAGAAAATAAATGTATGTAAGATGAAATGAAGTGCTAATTCATTGAAATGGAGGCACAATATTACCAAAGCATGTGGTGTAGGAAGTAAGATGGGACAGCACAAGGGAATTGGTCGGAATCTTTCCTTAATAGCTTTAGAATGGTATCCAACTCCAGATCTTTTATCAGTACTGTACCAAAAGAAAAAAAACAGGAATCATCTCTGACCGACAGTATATAATTATTTGTACATAAAAGTCAAACAAAAGACATGACTGCTCAAAAAGTTTGAATATGTGGATTACATTTTTAGTTAATAAATAGCCACATAACAGAAATCACGTAGAATTATTCAACGGTTTATTTTATTTTGTTCTGAATAGATAAGGATAACCTGTAATCCTTAAAAGGCATAAGATTTTATATGAATGTGTTAGCTATTTATACTGCATATACAACCTGTTAAAGCTAAGAAATTCAGAGTAGGGGAACAAAATTCCTTGCATACAGCCAGCCATGATCCAATTGTTAGCAAATAAGTATGGATACTTATTGGAGACATGCACACAGAGTCAAGCACAAACACATATTATACTATCTCATCATGTATAACCAAGTATGCAAAATGGCTCAGGCCAAATCTTCAAGAGATAAGATAGAGATAAATTTACTGCAGGAGAGCATTCAAACATATTTTTAATAATTGAAGAATGAAGATTTTAAAAAAGGAAGGAATGGTAGGGGCAATACTCATAAGGCCAAGGTTTTGAAAGGATAAATGTGGAGGCAGATTTTGAAAACGCCTTTAAACTTACACCTCACGAGCCTAAAAGAATGAATTTGTAAAGAGTATAAGAAATTATAAGTTGGATTTGCTCAAATTACTAATGTTAATTCAAGTGAATAACTCCATTTGGAGTAAATATGTTAAAAAAGTAAACAAGTTATGTCAAAGAGAATAATAAAATGGCATGATAAATAACAAAAGGTATACAAGTAATCAGAGAACTTAAGGATATGAAGGTAAATAAGGGAAACAATTATTAGTGTTTTCTCTGTTGCTACAGTAGTCCGAACCAGTAGAAGAGGAGAAGAAGAAGAAGATGAAAGAACAGTCGAACATAATAGGTTAAACCCTATTAGCCGACCCTTAATATTGATTAGGCTCTAATTAGAAGTATAAAGACTAAACTGGCCCCACTTAAGTATGGGACAGGAAGTCTCTATAAAGACTGCCACATAAGCACATAACTTAACAKAAGTCAATTGACTAATCTACCCTTATTCGGCTAGCTCTAACAATTAGTATTTTAAGAATTGAAGAGGGAGCATTACTGTGATGACTGTATTCTCGGTGTCCCAATTATTTGGAATAAGTAGTTAGTGTATTTTATACTTACCAATGTCTAATAAGATATGGTGGGCCCATGTCATACTATAACATATCATGAAAAGGAAGTTCAAGATTTGGTGAGATTGTGTCCTATTCTAAGAAGGAAAGTCTAGAGCTTAAGTTTTGGGAATGGTCACTTGGATTCCATACTCTTGGCATAATTCCTAAAATTTAAAAATCACAGTTACACGAATATACAATATTTGCAAGGATATACTTGAAAGAAGAAGAAGAAGAACTGTTTACTGTATTACAGGCTTGAAGAGAAGAAAAGAGAGAAAGAGAGAGAGAGAGAGAGAGAGAGAGAGAGAGAGAAAGAGTGAAGAGAGGAGAATAGAAAGAAGGGGTTCAGTGGTGAATAATCTGCTGCCCCATACACTCCTTTATTTATAGCTTTTAGGATCCTTACAAGAATAGGAAATAAACAAAAATTAGAAACAATAAGGCCAACCAGCCCAACTTAACAGAAATTAGAAACTTCTAATAACAGAAATTAGAAACT